TTGTAATAACACAAATATAAAACAGAGAACAAACATATGAATTTCAATATTTTTTTTTTGTATTAACATAATCATTCTTCTTCTTCTTCTTCTTTTTTTTTTTTTTTGGGGGGGGGGGGGGGGGGGGTTGAAAGATCTTCATTCATTTTTTACTTCACTTTTAAATTTTTATAGAGTATCAATATGGATAATGATACGGAAATAGAGAATCAAAGAGAGTAAAATCAATTATTGAGAAATTGGGAAAAAGGATTAAAAGCTATATTATATAGCTTTAAACGTGGGTGGCAGTTTTAAGACTTTTGAATTGGCAGTTTTTTTTAAAAACTTTTTGACAGTTTTTTTTTAAAATTTTTTTTTAAAAAAAAAAACTACACGACATGTACCCCATTACCCCATTTATATACTCACAAATATATGGGATAAAAATAAAAATTCTAATTAGAATAAATATAAGAGTCCAATAAAATTTAAACATTACCCATCTAATCAGTTATTTATAAAAGAATAAAAAGAATAAAGAGAGTTATATTATTTATGGTAACTTTTTAATCTTACAAATAATCTGTTCAAAATATTTAAAAAATTTAAAATTTAAATTTAAAATTACTAACTAATGCAAATATCTAACCAGTTATTTCTAAATGAATAAAAAGAATAAAGAAGAGTTATATTATCTATGGTAACTTTTTAATTTTTTAAAATAATCAGTTCAAAATATATTGATTTTAAAAAAATTTAAAATTAAAATTTAAAATTACTAACTAATCAAATTTAAATATTTTAAAATTTTAATTTTAATTTTTAAAACTTATGGTGTTGACATGTGTCATTTTTTCTTCTCCTTTTATTCTACTATTCTCTTATTATATAAGAGGGAGTTTATGATGGGACATTGTAATGTCCAATCATAAACTCCCTATATAATATATAATATATAATATAATAAATCATTTTTTCTACTATATAATATATATTTATTTTTCTACTATAAGGGAGTTTATATAATATATAATAATATAATATAATAAATCATTTACAAATGACTTAAAATATTTAATATTTAAAAGATATATAATAAAATAGGTTGACTCTCAAAATTCTATCCGGGTCACATATATTGGGACAGAAAAAATAACATATATCATTTCAAAATTACCAAAAAAGTATTATAAATAATAATAATTAACAACTTAAAATATCTGAAAGATATTTTAAAAGGGTTAATTTTGTAAGTTTATCCATATCACATAAATTAGGACAAAGTGATCAACAATGTAAGTTATTTGAAAGTTACATAAAAATATTATGAATCACAATAATTAATAACTTAGAACATTTTTTTTTAAATGCAAATTTGGATGACTCTTCAAATTTCATTTGTGTCACATAAATTGAAACAACAAAAATAACATATATTGCGTCCATTTTAATTTATTTGCCTTAATTTTTTTATATTTAAAATTTGCGTAAAAATACTATAAATCATGATAATTGACAACATAAAATATTTCAAAAATAAATACATATAAAAAAATTTGATTAATTCTTGAAATTAATCTATCGTTAAAAATTATGTATAAAATACAATAAATCGTGATTTTGACCACTTAAAATATTTATTAAAAAAACATAAAAAATAAATTGACTGATTCTTAAAATTAATCTATCAATGTCACATAAAATGAGACAAAAGTAGTAATATGTATTGTTTAATATGAAATTATTGAAAACTACGTAAAATGTATTATAAATGTTAACAATTAACAACATTCGATTGAATCTTCAAATTTTATCAATTCTACATACATTGACACAAGTGAAGTAATATATATTAAGTATTTAAAAATTACGTACAACCATATTGCTTTCTGTAGGCTTCGAATTATCGTGGTCATTTTTTAGGCTGATACAAGTTTTGTACTTTTTTTTTAACATTATAAATCGCAATAATTAATAATTTAAAATATTTTTAAAAATATATTAAAAATATAGTTGGTTTCGGGAATTTTATTTATACTATATAAAATGGGACAAAGGAAGCAACATATATCATTTACAAATGACTTAAAAAGCATTAAAAATTACAATAATTGCCAATTTAAAATATTTAAAAGCTATATAATAAAATAGGTTCACTCTCAGAATTATTTCAGGCTCACATATATTAGGACAGAAAAAATAACACATATCATTTTAAAATTACCAAAAAGGTATTATAAATAATAATAATTAACAACTTAAAATATCTGAAAGACATTTTAAAAGGGTTAATTTTCTAATTTTATCCATATCACATAAATTAGGACAAAGTGACCAGTAATGTTGGTTATTTGAAAGTTACATCAAAATATTATAAATCACAATAATTAATAACTTAAAACATTTGTTTTAAAAAAATTAAAATTTGGATGACTCTCCAAATTTTATTTGTGTGACATAAATTGAGACAAAAAAAAAACATATATTGGGTCCATTTTAATTTATTTGTCTTATTTTTTTTTTGGGTTTTTCATATTTAAAAAATGCGTAAAAATATTATAAATCATGATAATTGACAACATAAAATATGTTTTGAAAAAAAATACAAAAAATTTCACTCATTCTTTAAGTGAATCTATAGTAAAAATACTATAAATCATGATAATTGACAACATAAAATATTTCAAAAATGTTGTATGTGGATAGTCTTATTGTGCCTTGAATAGCGTCAAATAAAGTACAAGTTTGTGATAAAAAAACTTATTCCTTTATCCACGCAAACAATCGCTTCAAAATCTCCGTTATTAGCCCCAAACCATACCATTTATATTATTGGGCCCGTGACCGTGCATAGCACGGGCAACATTACCTAGTATTACTATAAGTGGGAATATCTACTACTTAGCACATGACAAGTGTTGGATGATAAGTGCTTCATAGTGTTGTACATTCTTCTTTTATGGTTGTACCTTTAAAATTTATATTATTGGACAATTTAACACCATTAATTACCTACTACTTTATTAGCCAAAAAGTTTGACCTCATTTGGGCCCAATATATATGTTGTTTATCTAATTCTCTTTTTCAACCTTTTATTTTAAACTTCTTGAAATTTAATTACCTATTTATTACTCTCTCTATGCACTTTTAATTGTTATGATTTCCTTTTTAGAGTCAACCTATAAGAATTTTAACTAATATTTTACAATGTGTTTTTTCATCATATTCATAAGCAAAAAATAACAATTTATAGTACTTTTTGTATAGATTTTGCATATTTTTATTTTTTTTAAAATATCGAATTAATACAATCTAATTTAACTTTGAAAATTAGTCAACTGGACTTTCAAAAAGCGCAACATGACAAATACAAATGGACAGAGAGAGTATATTTTAGCTACAAAATATATTAGAGGTAAAACTTTTTAAAAAATTTAAATTTTTATTGCGCTGACTCTTGAAATCTTATCATTGTCATATGAATTTGAACAAATTATATATTATTAAAAGTTACATAAAAGATGCTATAAATCACAATAATTAGCAATTAAAAATATTTTTAAATCATATAAGAAATTTGGTTGACTTATTGGAATAGAATAAGTAACATGTACTATTTGATATAACGTCAAAATTTCTAGAATTCACAATAAATTAACAACTGAAAATATTTATGATTATTCACGTGAATTGAAACATGAGTAACCTATATTATTCAAAACTAACGCAAAAATACTGTAAATCACAACAATTTAATAACTTCAAATATATTTTTAAGAAAACATATAAAAAATCGACTGATCCTCAAATTCCATTTATATCACATAAATTAAAACAATTTTTTTTTATTGGGCCTGTGCTGGCACGGGCACCAAATATCTATATATATGTGTCACAAATGGAAAAGTCCCAATCAAGGAAGCAACATATATAATTTACAAATGACTTAAAAAGCATTAAAAATTACAATAATTACCAATTTAAAATATTTAAAAGCTATATAATACAATACATTGACTCTCAGAATTCTATCAGACTCACATATATTGAGACAGAAAAAATAACACATATCATTTTAAAATTACCAAAAAAGTATTATAAATAATAATAATTAACAACTTAAAATATCTAAAAGACATTTTAAAAGGGTTAATTTTCTAATTTTATCCATATCACATAAATTAGGACAAAGTGACCAGTAATGTACGTTATTTGAAAGTTACATAAAAATATTATAAATCACAATAAATTTAGATGACTCTCCAAATTTCATTTGTGTCACATAAATTGAGACAACAAAAATAACATATATTGGGTCCATTTTAATTTATTTGTCTTATTTTTTATTTTTTTTATATATAAAAATTGCGTAAAAATACTATAAATCATGATAATTGATAATATAAAATATGTTTTGAAAAAAATACAAAAAATTCCACTGATTCTTGAAGTGAATCTATCGTAAAAATACTATAAATCATGATACTTGACAACATAAAATATTTCAAAATTGTTGTATGTGGATAGTCTTATTATGCCTTAAATAGCGTCAAAGAAAGTACAAGTTTGTGATAAAAAAACTTATTTCTTTATCCACGCAATCAATCGCTTCAAAAACTTGATTATTAGCCCCAAAACATACCATTTATATATAGCACGTGCCACATTATCTAGTATAGATATAACTAGGAATAGCTTGGTCATCACTCATCAAATAATTATATTTCCCTTATGACTCTTAAATTTTCAGAAGAACGTGTCCTTATCGTGATGGGCATACCATCTTGCAATAATTCATACATTTATTTAATTTATCTTCAAGTTCATTAGAATAATAATATAAACAAAAAGCATAACATACATGTGCTTAAAACGGAACCAACGTAGAAATTCAATAAATATTTTTAAAAATAATATGTAGGGACTAAGTCGCTACATGTATAGTCCAAAGGGTATAAATAAACATAGTTTATGAAACCCTAAGTGAAAATTCATCTAAATATCTAGAGAGAAAAAAATGAATATTAATACGGAGTTCTCTTTATTTGATTTTGATTTTCTTGAATCAGTAAAGCAACATCTTCTAAATGATTTCGATTTTTTTGAATATTTTTCACCTATGAATTTAAGCAACGTCGAATTATCTAATAATCCTAACTCAAGTTTCGGTAGCTCCCCTTCAATCGAATCCCATGAAAAGTCCGAATCCGAGGTGGAAATTATAAAGGGGCCTTGTTAGAGTTGATCTCTATGTATTGTAGTTGTAATAGAATTGTAATTGTGATTATTCTATAATATAAATATGAGTCATGCGGGTGAGCAAACACATGCTTTTATATTATCAATTTATGTCTTTCATCTTGGTATTAAGAGCCATATACGATTCTTCCTTTTTTTTTTTTTTTTCAATGGCCCCAGAAACATCCTTCTCCTCTTCTACTCAACAAACCTTGAGTCACTCTTCCCTTGGTCTTCCCGTTCCCCCTCCAACAATTTCTAATATCAAAGGTTTTGTCCCTATTGGATTGTCATATGTCAATTACCTTACTTGGAAGAAGGTTTTTGTCAAAGTTCTGAAAGTTATAATCTATTGTCCGTTGTAGAGGGAAAAATATCGTGTCCTTCGCCAAATCATGAAGAATATAAATTATGGATTCTGTGTGATATTATTGCATTGAGTTGGATTAATGCAACACTTTCGACGGCAGTTCTTGATACACTTTTGTAGTATTCATGTGAGACATCTGAAGAAGCTTGGGACAATTTAGCCTCATTGTATTTGGATCAACTTTCTTCCTCCTTCATTCATCTTAAGTCGAAATTTCAAAATTTCAAGAAAGGTTATCTTTCTATGGAGGATTATCTTCAACAACTTCACTCGATTGCCTGCTCTCTAAGGGCAATTGGCAAGCCTTTGACGGATGACAATTTAGTCACTCAGGTTTTGCAAGGTCTACCTTCATCTTATCGTATTTTTGTGTCTGGATTAACTGCCACTGGCTCGCTTCCTACTTTTATTACGCTACGACCACTCCTCCTCACAGAAGAAGCCCACATTAGTACAATTTCTTCAGAAGAATCAGATCTTAATTCTGTCTTGCTTGTGACAACTCATCCCCTCACGGACATCAACCTACGAAAGGACACTCACATGGACGAGGTCGTGGCAGGAATAACAAAGGACAATATGGTAAGGGTCGAGGATCCAATAATTCTTTATGGTCGAATTTTAAAAATAAAATTTGACATCCTTCACCTGCTAATGGTATTTTGGGACGACCACCATTTACTCCGGCTAAACAGTGTCAAATATGTTTTCACTATAATCACACTGCCTTGGAGTGTAGAAACAGGTTCAATCACTCTTTTGTAGCTAACAATATTCCTCAATCATTTGCTGCTATGAATTTGGAGGAGTTTCACCCAACATTTTGGTATTCGGACTCTAGAGCATCGACGCATATGACAAATAATCCTTCTACCCTTACTTCTCATGCTCCATACTCTGGTTCTTCTCAGGCCATGGTTGGTGATGATACTCTTCTCTCTATTAACTCTATTGGTTCCTCTATTTTTCCTACAACCTCGAAACCTCTTGTTCTAAAGAACGTTTTATATGTTCCTTCCTTTGCTAAAAATTTATTTTTTATTTAACGTTTATGTGCTGATAATAATTGCTTCATTCAATTTACTGATTTTGATTTTTTTGTTAAGGCCAAAAAGAACAATACAACACTGCTCCGTTGTAACAATACTTGATCTCTTTATCCCATCCGCATCGTTTCATTCAGATCCTCCAATTTTGGTCTTTTCGCTAGTGTCGTGCATGTTTCTACTTGGCATCAACGTTTGGGACATCCTGGTCACCAATCTTTGCGTTCTTTAGTTGCTAGAAAATTGATTAGTAGTACTTCTTCCTTTTGCAATAATTGTTGTGATGTTTGTCATTTGGGCAAACAAACTCGAATGTCGTTCTCTTTATCTAGTAGAAATGCAAATTCTCCATTTGTTTTAGTTCATTCAGATGTTTGGCATGATTCTGTTGCCTCAAATTCTGGCTATCATTATTATATTTTATTTCTTGATGATTATACTAAATTCTCTTGGATTTATTTGATGCGTGAAAAATCTGAATCCTTCGAAAAATTCAAAGAGTTTCATGCAATGGTTAAAAAACATTTTTCACACCTCTATTTCTTATTTCAATCTGATGGGGGTGGAGAATATGTTGACCAAAAATTTAAATCCTTTTTCCAGCAAAATGGCATCACCCATCCTTTTTCTTGTCCTCACACATCTGCTCAAAACGGTAGGGCTGAAAGAAAGCATAGACATATTGCTAATGTTCTTCGTTGTTTTATTTCTCAAGCGTCTATGTCTTTTAATTATTGGGGTAATGCTTGTTTATATGTTGTCTTTCTTATCAATGTAACCCCTCTTTCAGTGTTGCATTATAAATCTCCGTTTGAACTACTTTATGGCTATATCCCTGATTACAAATCAATCAGTGTGTTTGGGTGTCTATGTTTCCCCTTTGTGGCATTTAATAAGAGCTCTAAGTTCCAACCTCGATCTAAACCATGTTTGTTTCTTGGTTCATATGATAAACATAAATGATTTAAATGTTTGGATCCTTGCTCAAATAGAATTCTCATCTCTCGGCATGTTCATTTTGTTGAGGACTCTTTTCCGTTTAAGAGTATGTTTCCTACTTTTCCGCCAACTTCTTCACCCAGTTCTACCTCATTCCCAACTATTTCTGATAATGTTAAGTCTTTTACCTCTCCTGTTCATATCATTCATTTTGGAGGAACTTAAAAAATGAGTAGTAGTAGTCCGATTTTACCTACTCGGGATCACATTTCAATTAGGAGTACTCAAACTCCATCTATTTCGCAGCTTCCTCCTCCAAATAGGAGTCTCCAGACTCCTTTAGATAAAGGGAATACCTCTGTCAATTCTTTTCCTTTAACTAGTAGCGTAATTCCCATTCAACTACCTGTAGTCTCCACTTTGGATCCCTCCTCCTCTGCTCCTCTTGAACGAGATATTTCATCTCTTGCCCCTTCCACGCAGACCCTTTCTCCATCTAATAATCTCCAAATATCTCCCTCACAATCACCTATTGTTAATCCGCAAACTCAACATATGATCACTCGTTCTAAAACAGGATCGCTCAAGCCTTGTGTCCTCCATTCCTTAACAACTTCCACATGTTCCATTTTATCCGAACCTACTTTCTTTTCTCAAGCTTGTAAAGACTCTCGTTGGATGCAAGCAATGAGTTCTAAATTTGATGCTCTTGTCCATAACAAAACTTGGTCCTTGGTGCCGCCTCCTCCAAATGCAAATATTGTTGGCAACAAATGGGTGTTTCAGATCAAGTTTTGTGCAAATTATTATGTTGAAAGATTTAAAGCTTGTTTAGTGGCTCAAGGTTTTTCGCAGCAGCGCGGGGTGGACTATTTTGAGACTTTTGCTCCTGTCGTTAAGCTTAGCACAGTGCGTTTGGTCTTGTCTTTGGCTCTTCAAAAAAATTGGTATATGCACCAACTTGATGTGTTGAATGAGTTCTTGCATGGTTTGTTATCCGAGACTGTTTATATGCGTCAACCTAAGGGCTTTGAACATCCAGATTATCCCAATTATGTGTGCAAGTTGCAGCGTGCTCTTTATGGTCTTAAACAATCTCCAAGGGCTTGGTTTCATCGTCTTGCTCGTTTTCTACTTGATCTAGGATTTAAGCTATGTGCTTCAGATCAAATCATGTTCATTTTTCACTTGGGGGCTGATTGCATTATTCTTTTATTTTTGGCTTTTCAAAGTCCTTAGTATCTGAGTTCATCTCTTCAATGAGTTTCGAATTCTCAATAAAGGACTTGGGACAACTTCACTACTTCTTTGGCATTGAATTAAAACGCAACTCTTTGGGACTTCTGTTACTTCAGCATCGTTATACTACTTCACTTCTTCATCGCTTCAAATTAGAGAACTGTAAACCGATGCTAACTCCACTTCACAGTAAGTTGGATTGGAATTATACTTTTTCTTGTTTGCTTGACGATCCTTCTATTTATCATCAAATACATTATCAATTTCTGTCTTTCATCTGGCCTATGGTGGTAGCGCGTGAGAAAAACACGTCGGGAGATTGGAGGCGGTACATAGGTGTGAGACGGAGGCAATGGGGGATGTTCACGACGGAGGTAAGAGATCCGGATAGGAAAGGCGCAAGGTTGTGGTTAGTAACTTATGAGACCCCGGAGGATGCAACTTTTAAAATTCGGGGCTCAAAAGCTAGGGTCAATTTTTCTCATTTAATCGACTCAAACATGCCCGAGCCGGCAAGACTAACAGTGAGGCATCGTACGCGCTCGCCCAAGTCATCTGCTTTTTCATTCACGTCATTGGAAAATGGGACAAGGAAAATAGATCTTATAAATTTGATAGCCAAAGCCAAAGCCAATTTATTTGTCATAATTAGGGGTGTCAAAAATGAACCCAAACATAGGTAACCTGTCCAACCCGCCCAGATTTTTAAGGGTTGGGCTCAAGATAATTTGAATTGGATTCAATCTCAACTCATTCAAGCCTAACCCATTTTAAGGGAATCCTCAATTGAGCCCAATTCAATCTTCAATTTCAATCTGTTTTAAAATTCTTTATTAAGATATGTTCCTATATTGAAGGGATGAATATTTTAGGATTTATCTATCCATTTGTTAATTTTTTTTAAAAAAAATCTTGAGTTGAAATTCAAATTGTGATTATAAAAGTTAAATATCACTATGTTAAAATTATTGAGATTAAGCGGGTCAAGACCCAACCCGTTTTTTAGCCCGTTTGAGCCCAAAGTAAACTTGGGCGGGTCAAGACCCAACCCGATTTCTATTTCAACCCATTTTAATATCTCCAATTTCAACCCAACCCGCCCATTTGACATCCCTAGTCATAGCCATTTGAAAGGAAGATCACTCTGTGTTCAAATAACTTGTAATATATCTATCTTTATTTTATTTGCACATCTTGGTATGATCAATGTAATTAAGCATCATTGTTTTAATTAGTGGTACAATTAGAATTATCATTAAAATATGTCAATATATAAATAAGTAGATTCACAAAGAAGCTAAGAGGTGTCAACATGTAATGTATATAAAAAAATATTTCTACTGATATAATTTTCTAACAAAGAAATATCAATTGACACCCTTAAGTGGACTTCTAATAGTCTGTTTGGTCAAGTAACAAATTTTGTTTGACTAAATAATTTTAAAAATTACTTTTATCAATATTTTTACAGTAATTAATCCTTGAAAAATGTTTCAAAAATGTTTATAGAGGGGGAAAAACTGTTTTTAACTTCTAAAAACTATTCACCGCACAAAAATATGAGTATATTTTATTTTTTTTTGAAAAATAAGATCAAACACCTTAATTTTTCCAAAATAAGTGTATTATTTTCTTTTAAGAAACCATTTTTTTACTTAATACAAAATTGACTAATTTGGGTATGAGTAGTTTGTTCAATATCAATGAATTGAGTTGTCTCTGAAGTCTTGAATTGCAAGTTCAGAGTATACATTTGTCATTTGTGCATCTTGCCAAAAATTTCAGTTTCATTTATTGTAGACCATTCTTCTCAACAGTATGCACTATGATTTCTTTTATTTTTTTCAAAAAATAGTACCTATATGTTTAATTTCTTAAAGTCATTTCAAATAATTTATTTATACTTCATGTACACATGGGGATAATATTAATAATCAATGCAAGTATATGTTCACATTCAATATTTTCGAGGCATGTGTTGAAGAGTAAATTGGAAATCATATATCATATATTTTTATGTTTTTTGGTTTTCACCCGATATTCTAAGTTCGTATGGGAGGTTGGAGCTTTCATGAATTGTGCGCTATAGGGCTCATTTTGGAATGATGTTGTCAACAAAACTTTCTCCATATTCAGGATTCGAATTTGAAACCTTTAATTAAGGTGAAACAGTCTCATCGCTACACAACAACTCAAGTTTGGTGTATATCATATATTTATCCAATTCTATTATGGCAGTTAAACCGTCCAAAAACATGCTAATACTTTTTTTGTTTTCAAATTTGTCATATATATATACACGTGTGTGTGTTTAAACTAAAATTGGCTTCTATGAGTCATATTCTAGAGACACTTGATATCCGGGTGATAGAAGTTGAATTTGATTATTTTAAGATACGTTAAAAGATATTCAAGTTATTAGGTGACTCAAATCAGGCTTCATATCGATTTTTCGACCGTTAAATTTCAAGAGAAGAAGAGATTGTCATCTTTACTTAACCATACAAGAATAAGACAATGTACAAGAAATTATGAGAACATTTAAAATCTATCTTACGTTACACCTAATCCTATCGTTGTACCCAAAAAATAAGAAAGAAAAGGAAAGAATAATGAAGAAATAATTTGAAAATAAGAAATCCTAATTTATTTCTTTTATCATATAGTATGTTAACTACCACCATACACATAACAACCGTAAAATGGACATGCGTGTCTAGTTGAAATTCTTTTTTAGAAAATAAGAGCAATTCACAAATTATTATTAAATTCCTACATGCGACACAATTAATATAGTATATAGTCTCATAGAAATGCTTGATGACGGTTGAGATGGTAGAGGTGATTAAATTAGATCATGATGCTATTATAATCTCTTTAAGTTAGATTGATTATTGATCTTTTTAGTTATTTTAATATATTAAAATTTGGGTTGATATCTAATCATATTGATTCGTTAGAATTATTCTCAAAATATCTTCAATAGTAAAATGTTTTGTCAAAATAATAGTAACTAAAAAAAATTATAATTTTTTTTTTGATTAAAGTAATTAAGTAAGTATTGAAAGACTGCGGGTAAAAAAAAAACTAATATACTTTAAGGTTGATAAACTTTTAAAAAAAAATCCATATTATGGCTAAATAAATTTTTTTTATATATATATATATAAAATATATATAAAGCACAAGTTGTCATATATTTAAAGCCGTCAAAATGGACTTAGCCCAACTCCACCCGTTATTGAGGTAGGGTTGGGATAAAAAAATTCAAGCCCATTTAAAGCTAGGGCTTATAAGCCCAACCTATATAAGCTCTTGGCCCTTGAGGCTTGATCGGGGTCGTCCCATAGGCCAAAACTTTTTATTCAAGGGTAACTTATAATAATCTCACTAGTATATAATCTAATTACTTAAATACATGTTATGTTGTAATATTATGAATCTTACTAGATTTTGGTACGTTCAATTACAAATCTCACGCCCTCGACTCCCTCTCATCTTGCTTGTCACTCTTTATCTCGCTCGTGTATCTGGTATGCAAGATATATGCTAATTACAAGATTTTTTGCTGGTGTTTGTCATATTTGATTTGAAAATCTTCTCATTTTCTTGATGTATAGAATTGTAAGTTTGAAAAAAAAGAAAGAGCTAGCCGCCCCAGCCTTCGGCCCTTGTAGGGTTGGGTTGAGCATTTTCAAGTCCTTCCAAATGAAGGGTCGTCCCGCCCTAGCCCTTCAAATTCCTTGGCCCGCGAAGCTTGGGCTGGGCGGGCTGGACCGGCCCCTTTTACAGCTCTAGTTATATTGTATCTATATTTTTGGGTCTGATAGTATATCGACAACACATCCATGTTCTCTTCCATTAGTTGTCCCCTGAAATTATAAAATATTTTACCAAGGTAGATGAGTATTTAAAATTAATTTTTTATTAAATATAAAATTACGTTAAAGTATTATTTTTAGGATTGACATAAAAAAAATCATAACGATTAAAATAAATGAAATTACACATGATTTTAGTGCATAAATAACTTAGCCCCAAACCGATTAATTGGCTACCAAACTATCCTCACAATGCATTGGTGTTGTTTGGTAATTTATTGAATGCTTGAGCCTCTTTCTAGTGCCCAAAAATGGTACTCTTTGTCCCGATTGTAATGAGTTAGTTTGACATGTTACGGGGTGTAAGAATATTTTTTTTAAAATTTACTGTCTAAAATAAATCACATATTCTATACTAATAAGAACTTTCAATTTTACTAATTTTTATGCACTTTATATATATATTCTTGTACTCAAAATAAAGTAAAACTATCATTAAGGGTAAAATAAACATTTTAAAGTTAAATTGTTATTAAATATATTATTCTTTTTAGAACTAACTAAAAAACTGAGTCATAAAAATTGGGACAAAGAAAGTATTAATACTACAATTATTTACTCCCTCCGTTCCATTTTATATGACATCCTTTACTTTTTAGTCCGTCTCAAAAATAATCTCACCTTACTATAACTAGAAACAATTTAATTTTAAAATTCATCTTTTACCCTTAATGAAATGATTTACAACCACACAAACATTTAAGAACTGTTTTAGTCTATAAATTTTAAAAGTTTTCCTTTATTTCTTAAACACCATGCTAAATTAAATAGTGTTACATAAAATGGGACGGAAGAAGTATTTATTTTCATAGGTACTACTATTTCTAAGGCTGTTTTGATGTCACATGAAAGGGACCGAGTAATTACAAAAATGATATCGAAGGTAGGTAGTCTTAAATTTTTTTATTTTCCGCTTATTTTATTGGGAAAATTTTAAATTTAACAAGTTTAGTTTTTTGATCGCGAAAATTCGTATAAAAACAAAATGAAGGTCAAAAGTTCAAGACGATTAAAGTATAGGGCCCACAAATCAGCATCACCTCAATTTTTTGTTTTATTTTGGCGTTCCTCCGGTACGGCAAACACACCAAAAAAAAAAAGATTCGAAAACTAGTTTATTGTTTCTAATAAATTTTGTTCGTACTCCCTTATTTATAGGTCATGTTATTTTTTGTTCTAATTTATTATATTCTATTTTTTTGAAAAAATTGTCTCAAGAAAATATCAGATATTTTAATATTTATAAAATATTAAATTTAAGTATTTAGATATTTTGATCTATCCATTGATATTTTTAACGAGTAACGAGTACTAAATTTCAGTATTCGAATAATAAAAGAGATTTTAAAAATGCTTTGAGAAGTATCTCAAATAAAATAACTTTTAATTTGGGGTAGGTGGGGGATGGTATACTGGGAAAAAGAAGAAGAATAGGTTTCATGTTTGGGTTTATTTGAAAAGTTATTGTTTTCTTAAAATAATTATATAGTAAGGTAAATATGTGATGTATTTATTAAACACAACTGTTATATTGAAAAAATACATTATATAACTATATTTAGGATTTTATAGTAAAATTTCCTTTACTCTCAAACTCTCTCTATCTCCTCTCTCCCTTTCTCATCCCCTCTCTCTTTATCTCTCGCCTCGTACGAATGGGACATATCATTGATAAAAATTAGGCGAGAGATGATGAAGACCTCACCTACCTCTTCAATTTCAAACCTAAACTTTTAGTATGCTTGAACGAATGAGAGATATAATATTGTATCAATTGTATTCTACAAGGTATTATAAAAGAG